TTTTCTGTGCACTGTTTATCATTGCAGGACCTGTCTGAGAAACTCTCTGAACAAGAATTACAGTTTCGTCGGCTCAGCCAAGAGCAAGTTGACAACTTCACTCTGGACATAAACACTGCCTATGCCAGACTCAGAGGAATCGAGCAGGCTGTTCAGAGTAAGCACACAGACCTCTTGTGTGTGATTCTTTCAGTCCTACTTCTTAGGGTAGTTTCTCAGTGCAAGGATGGTGGTGTACATAGTTTGACATTAAGGAATAAAGATGCCAAAGTCATCTCACGTGAGTCACCGATGTCTCTTGTCTTCTTTCTCCGAGTGGAGAAGAAAGGTCATTGTGGCCACACGCTCCCCCGAGCTCTGCCCTGTCTCCAGGCCTCGTGGGGGCTTATCTGGACGTGCTGACTTGCTGGCCCCACCCACCAGATGGACCGTAGTTAGGCTTGAGGCCTCCATGTGACACATGAAACGGAATGTCCTGACGATGGTGTTAATTAAATGGGTTTCTTTGGGATGTTATGGAATCTTTTTTATCAGATAAACAACAGTAAGCTAAATGGTCATGAAATTTCAGGATCCAAGGGTCCATTAAGTTTATTTGAAGTCTCCTGTTCCTTTGCAGGGAGTCTCTGATAGCTTAATTTAAATACCATGTTTCTCTCTCAGACATTCCTAAAGATAAAGGTACTTGGGATGTCGCAGGAGGGAAGGGAGCTCGGTTGTGCCTGTGCACACACAAGTCCTCATCAGATTACGCCGGGGGTTGTTGCCTCGTGTGACGAGGCCCGCTGGGAAAGGAGGTGCCCGAAGTACGTGGTGGGAAGAGGCTCTCTGCCCATCTTCCGCCTGTGTGGCTTTAGCTTGTTCTCGGGGCGGCGGGAGGGCTTGCACACAGGCGGGGAGGAGAATGTCTGCCTTCGCCCTCTCTTGCAGGTCACGCGGCCGCTGAGGAGGCGGCCAGGAGGGCCCACCAGCTGTGGCTGTCGGTGGAGGCGCTGAAGTACAGCATGAAGACGGCGTCCGCGGAGCTGCCCACCGTTCCCCTGGGTGGCGCGGTCGAGGCCATCAGAGCCAGCTGCTCCGACAGTGAATTTGCCCAGGCTCTGACCGCAGCCCTCCCCCCGGAGTCCCTGACCCGGGGGGTGTACAGTGAAGAGACCCTTCGAGTCCGTTTCTATGCCATCCAGAAGCTGGCCCGACGGGTAGCCATGATCGATGAAACCCGAAATAGCTTGTACCAGTACTTCCTCTCCTACTTACAGTCCCTGCTCCTGTTCCCACCTCAGCAGCTGAAGCCACCAGCAGAGCTCTGCCCCGAGGATACAGACACATTTAAATTATTGTCCTATGCCTCCTACTGCATTGAGCATGGTGACCTGGAGCTGGCAGCCAAGTTTGTCAATCAGCTGAAAGGGGAGTCCAGACGAGTGGCGCAGGACTGGCTGAAGGAAGCCCGAATGACCCTAGAGACGAAGCAGATAGTGGAGATCCTGACGGCGTATGCCAGCGCCGTGGGCATAGGAACCACTCAGGTGCAGCAGGAGTGAGGTCTGGGAGGGGTCTTGTGAGTCCCGTTTCACGTCGGAGGAAGTCGGCAGTGACACGTGAAGGGTCTGCGACAGGGTCTCAGAGTTGTCCAGTCACGAGCAGGCTGCAGTGCTGTCCTGAGTGTTAACACCTGCTGCGTTTATCTTACTTCCTCTTGCTATCATGTCGGTCACCTCCAGGAGCACTTCATTTGCAACTTGTGTAACATTTTGTTTTTCAGGTGTTACTGATCAGGCTTGTGAGCCAATCAAAATAATGTTTGTGATCGCTATTATTATTGATTTTGCCCTTGGAGCAAACTGAATAAAACAAAGATGAAAACGGAGTAGCTTATCCCTTTTCAAAAAGTACCATTTCTGGTTTGTTGTGTGTATAGGAACTTCCCTGAGAAGCAGCAACAGCAGAAGTAGGAAGTCCTTGGCAGCTTCCCGGCTGTGAGCTGGGTCTCACGTCCTAGGCCTGTTCTTGGCTTTGAAGATTGTGTTGAACTGACTCCTGCTGGTCAAACTCAGAAGACTGATGTACAAGTCAGAATACCAATATATTTATAAGTAAGTGGAGATACTTCATTCTAGTGATTTGAAAGGCACTGGAGTCAGACTTTGGACTGCCACCACAGGAAAAAATATATTGGGACCCAGTACACCCACATACATACCCTCTGATGTGTGTGTTATATATACAGGGAAGTTTCTGGAATCATAGCATTCCCTTCCTACCCCCCCCCCCCGAGCTATATGCAGTTCCTATATATCCAACAAGTCCAAAAGCAACATAATAAAATATTGCCATAGGACAAATGTCACACATTTGAAGAACATTAACTAGGCGAGCAGCATTGGAAAATACCCCACCACTGATGTGGGGTCAAAGCAGAATATCACTAGCTGCACACAAGACTTCACCTGACATCAAACACACCCTTAACATAGGACAACTTAGAGATTGATTCATTTCAGCTTATTTTTCTAAGCGCTTTACAATTTGTGTTTTCCTCCAGTTCTCATCTTAGTTTTCCCAATGGATACTCACTGTATATATAACCACCATTTGTGGCTGGGTTGTCTAAAGCTTTGAGTATTTTCTTGCAGGGCCCAGTAGCTCTCCTTTCTACGTGTGATGTGCTGTGTTCCAGTCTGGGGCGTTAGAAAAACGTTGATCTCTTCTCTCCCCACAAATCAGTCCCTCAGCCCTCAAAACAGTTCACAGCTCCCGTTTCTGAACCCCCGGCTGAGCTTGCTGCTCCCGGGCATATGGACTGGAGTGGGGGTGAGCCTGGACCCCTAAGGGCACTGAATAGTTTCTGGGGTATGTTCGAACCGGTCTGACATACAACCCAGAGAACTTTCTTACCTAGTCTCTGAAGATTAGAGCAGTTGCCATGTTGGGTAAGCAAATTCCTTTTATGTTTTACTCCATGAAAATACTGTCCATGTTTTTTTCCCAAAATTATCATTGGGCTTTTCCGTGTCCACATTATTAAAGAGGCACTTTTATCTGAGCAGTGTATCTACAAATCACGAAAAGAAAGGGAGGGAGGGTTGGTTTTCTGTTTCTGCAGGTATATGCCAGCGCCCGACTTTGGACTGTCCCGTTCACTTCTGCACGGCACCTGACCTTGTCCTTCGGTCCGTTCTGGCACGGGCTGACTTGTTCATATGCCTTATCTTACTCCTGAGTGGATTCGTAATTCAACAAAACACATCGAGTTCTCCGCCGGGAACTGCGCACGCTGTGATAACCTCTGCAGGAGGAGGCACTCTCGGTACCTGCGGACCACTCAGCTTTCACTAGCAGCTAATGAGGTTCTAAATTAGCCTTTCTTCCCCTTTGCAACAGCATGAAATGGTAAAACACATTAACTTGCTAAAGCTGATTACTTACCTATTTGTCATATTAGAAGTGTTTGTAATTTTTCTTTTACTCATGAAATATGTAAAACATAGATTATAAGGAAATCTAAATTTCTCTAGGAGCCCAGGAGTAACTTCCGTCAGATGTGGTTGTCTGCGCTCACAAGAAGCAATACTGAGCGGTTTACTTTAGCTTTGTTAAGTCAAAATGACGAAGACCACTAGCTTTTCATTTCAGAAGTTCCTTTAGCACATCCCCCCCAGCCCCCCCACCACATACTGGGAAGCAAGATGCTGCTGAAAAGGGGGCTCTGCTGTCCCGGCTTTGATTCTCCTTGTCAGGACTATAAGGCTCGACTCTTCCTGAGGTGCCCCCAGCAACCCTTCAGGGAAAGGGGCCTTTACTTGGGCCCAAAGAGCCTGCATGTGGGTTCCCAGTTCCACTGCAAGACTTGGAGTCAAAGGGGCAAGGCTCGGGGAAGGCGGGTGCAGCCCTGGGCATTTCGGCAGCTTCTCTTCAGCCTGTCTTCCTTCAAAATCCAAGTAGAAAGTTGCACCCCTGCCACTGCCAAGGCTCTCATCCTCTCCCTATTTCAGCCTCAGACCGGGCTGCCTCCCTCCTGAGTGCTTAGGACAACGTTCCTCAACATTTTAAACTCATGCCTGCATTTAATTAACATTAAAACTCGAATCTTTGCCTTGATATGGTCTAAAGTTTCTAAGTCAATAATGTAACTAAAATGTAAATTTGGACAGCCTTTCTTAAGGCACCCTACTTCTATATTCTTTAGTATTAAACCTGCTTTCCTAACAGGGTCTGGATAAAAGCAGTCTCCAAGTCTTATATGAGCTGTCCCACCAGTTTTAAAGTGACCTGGATGAATTCAGTGCAGAATAGCAGATAATTTAACATAAAAGGGAAATAAAAAGGATTACATCTCAGGCAAATCACTCTTCATCAGGTCCAGTGGTCACCACCTCCCTGAACCAAGGCTAAGCTCCCCTGGGTTCCTTCCTGTTGACGCGCAGGGGCCCTGAGGTTGGGGAATCTTAAAACTGACAATCTAGGGGAAACCATGAAGCACCAGTACTTAGGTTTCCAAGGATGTATGACTGGGTCCTGGCCAGAGGATGGCCAACAGAGATGGGGACGGGCACGTACGTTCCACCCAGCAGCCCACAGAACGGCAGTCCCAGCAGGTTAAGGATGCAGCTGCTTACCTGAGAACTCACGGGATGCCTGCGTAAACCTGGGAGTCAGATGAGAGCGAAGCAGCCTGTGCTAGGAGCCCCGCGGAACGCCCGCACACCTCACAAGCTCCTGTTTGCTTCCAGGACCGCCCGAGAGCCACAGGGGTACGAGGCTCCAGACCAGCTGCATTATCAGCGATAGGCAATCAGGTCACAGAGACACTGCAATCCTTCTGTCCTCACAAGCCCTCATTCAGATCACTAAGTGCCAGCACACCCGAAGAAGGTGCCAGCACACATAGAGATGAAACATTCCCGTGCGAGCCCCACACCTAGTGGAAGACCAGCAAGACTTACATAAAAATGAAAACATGCAGACCTTAATTACAACATTTATTTATAGTCTTCGCTTTCCCAGCTCTGCAGACTAAACTGCCACTGTTGTCTGATCAGCTCTAAGACGCACAATTTTTCACAACTAACCATCCCTGAAGTTAGGATACCACCGACCCCACTACTGACGTGAGCGGATAAACGCCGCAGGTGCGCGGAGCTGAAGGAACGAGCAGCGACGTCCCTCACAGCGGGGGCCCAGGGGGGTGACTCGCGCTTCAGGGGCGGTTTGGTTTAAAAAGAAAGGTTCAATTCTTTTTAAGTCAGTCTGCATTATCAGCGATAATGCTGGATGAGTGATGACCCGTGTTCTGCTTTCCTGACATTAGGGTTAAACGTTAACATCTATTTGCCTTCACTGCTGTCACTGTCGCTGTCACTGCTGCCGTCACTGTCGCTGTCGCTGGTCAACGCAGGCTGGTCTCCCAAGACTTCCCTGTAAGAAAAGTAACAGAGGGTTACATTGCGGCTCGGGCAGGGACCTTGCAGCTGCCCTGGACCAACAGAGGAAGAGGTTCCGGAAGGCACCTCTGAGCCTCCCTGACCTGCATGACAGATGACAGACACCACATCCATGCACTCTGACTTTCTGCAAACCAGGAAGGAAAGTCGGGGCAGAAAGCTACAGGCGACTGGGCAGACTGACAAAGGGTCCGCCCCATTTTATGAGCCTTTTTTCTGGGCAACGATACAGGACCCACTCACTTTTGTTCCTGGCTGAGTGTGAGCTCGGCCTTTACTCTCTGGGTGAGGTCTTCACAAATAGGTAAGCTGAAGGCGCCTGCCAGCTTCACGACCTCCATGGCCTGCTCGGGGCTGTGGGACGCTGTGGCACTGTCCATGAACTCATTCAGCAACTCGTTCCTGCAAAGAAAGGCCAATGGCAACATTCCCCAACCAAACCCGTCAAAGATCTTATGCGAGATTTAGTACTTTATGAACTTCACACACTCGTAAGCAGCAGCTCTGCAGACAGCCACTTGAAGTCTGACTTTAAAGGGCCAAAGAGAGAATGCTCGGCGGTTCAGTAAGCCTTCACTGAGGATCCAACGGACCCCAGTGCTGTGGTCACCACGCACAGACGGAAACACAGCACTTGCCTCGGGACGCCCTCAATGGGGGGCCTGTCAGAGAAGTGCCCGACGGCCACGGCCGAGGTCTGTGAGACAACTCCACCCCCCCACCCCGCACCCGTAAGGGTTAAACCCACGCAGAGAACCAAGGATGTGCCAGGCAGGCCTGTTTGCTTGAACTTACCTAGGGATCTTATTATGTTTCCTGAAAAGGCCCAGCATTTTCCTGTTCGGGATGAGACAGGAAGATTATGACTATTAACAGAACAGAAGGCACCTGAACGACCACAGCTGTGCTCCCGGGTGGAGATGGCGTGTCCTCCCCAAGCAGGGGGGAAGCTCCCAGTGACACCCGTCTGGGAGCTCCGCTGGCTCCCAGCCCCGTCTTTACATCAAAGTTGCCCCCAGTGCTTCAACTCCCTCCTCCCAAACCCCAGGTATGGACAAGTTTCACGGGCAAATCTGATCTGTTGACAGAGTGGCTGAGAACCGCTGGGCTGTACCCTGCAGCAGAGAATCACTCAGTCCCCCGGGGAGAGAGTGTCCCACGTGGGCAGTGGGCAGCTATGCTCTCTTCTCTCACAACCCAGCATGAACGTGTGCCCTAATGGGACGTACGAGGAGCAGGCTCAGATTCAGGCACCGGTCTCGTGTAGGTGCTCGCCCCCCTCCTGCCACACGCAGGACAGAGGAGAAACACGTACACTCAGCTCCCATCATCAGCTGAGGTCCGTACCCCTGCGCCAATCATCACAGCCTGACTCGTGACAAGTGTGTGGCACCCTGCGAAGTGTCAGCAAATGCAAGCAGCAGGTGCTGCTGTCACCAGGTGTGCAGCAGGCTGTGTGTACGATTCACCACCAGGTAAGACCAGCTGAGGCAGCAAAGCCTTCACCAGCTCTTCCTGGAAAGAGCGAACAGCCACATTCTGGACTGACAATCAAATTAAGGTCCTTTCTAATGCCGAACAAGCAAGGCGCAACCACCCACCCCCGCCACACCCACTGACTCTTAGAACACACGTTTATACTCCAAACAAAATACAGCGGAACCACCCAGCTGTGACTACCCCTACAAAGTGTTCTTTCTTCTTTTGCTGACTTCTCTACTTCTGGAAAAGTGAACACACATAAGGTGTCCATTCACAAACACTAAACATTAGTGTAGCAATGGAATGCGGAGGAAAACACAGAACAAGAATACAGTGGCACAAACCAGAGCCGGGCTCGAGCCAAGGCCAGGCTCAGGGAACACTGGCCAATGCCAGTTTCTGGACGTCCCGTACGCAGCCCACGTTTTAAGCTGGGAGGTAGGCGGGAGCATCCACAAATGAAGTACCTGAATAAACCAAATGCCCAAAACATTTTCAAACTGAAGATTCTTCGATCACTCTGTTATACCTAAGTGATCAGAGAATTGACTTGCCCACAAATATAGAAAACAAAAACGGAAAGAGAACGAGCCCACTGAACAGCATCCTCTCTCACATACACTGTAAACAATGGTTCTTCTCCCAAAAGTCTGCTTTTTAGTTGCCATTTGGAAGTTCCCATAAAAAACTCATGAGGTAGAAAATTCATCTGTCTCCTTATAAACTACACATCATACGGCCAAACTAGAAAAGCTCTACTGACCAGGGTCAATGTTCTCTGCGATCCAAACACAAAAGCCCCGAACTCGCACACGTGGTATCTGCTGGACTCACCAGGCCTCCTGGGTTCTCCCGGCCCTTAGAAGCAGGACAGCGATACAGTTCAGGCAGTTGACCGGCCACTCGGGAGCGGTCTGTCTGGCATCCTGGATTTCGTAAGTCGACTTGATATCTGCAGCACAGTCAGCAAACGCCACCTGCAGCTGAGAGGTTCTAAGACTCAGCAGAATTGTCTAACTGGTTTTATGAGACTTTAAGTTCAGGAGACCCCACAGGACTGTTACAATTGGAGCAATGCGTTTTCCCATTGGAACACATCATATGTACAGCACATGCTAATACAATACTTTAAAAACAAGTTTTAAAAGGCACCCTACCCGGGGGTAATAAACTTCATTAGCCACATTTTTCAAACCCAACTATTGGTTTTCTTTTTAGGTAGTTTTTTTTTTTAAAGGCAAGCTGCTATTGATTGTCAGCACAGAGAGAAGCCATTTTCAATGCTGCTGGCTTTGGGCTAGAGGAATGACAGTGATTTTAGAAATGGTATTCGAATGGTTAGGTATGTTCAGGCGTGTAAGTCAAATTTCGGCTTAGATGGCAGAATCTGCCACAGTGAAATTACCCTCAGCAGGCCCTCAGTGCTAGAAGATGCACTGGTTAGTATGCGTCTAACAATGACAACAAAACCTGAGTGTGAATACAGCCTTACCTCTGGTGGATGACGATCCCTTGCCATGAGCATCAGAATCTCTTCTTTCAGCTCATTTCGAAAAGTGTGACCATATTCTTTACTATCTTGAAAAAAAAAAAAAGAGCAGTGGTCACTGGCACGTGGAACAGACCCTCCGTGGCTGACCTCTGTCACTCGTATTGTTGGTAGGTGAAAGTAAGTTGCTGACATTACATACTCCGGGATCCCAAAAAACCGGCAGCATGATTCATGGTAGAAAAGGACAAAAAGGCAGTGAAAGCCAGTGCCAGTAACCTGCTCCGGGACAAGCGTTCACACAACACACGCAGCGCACTCAAGCAGCCCTCAGCTCCACACGCGTGACACTGTCTTAAAGCACGTGGGAACACGGCCATCAGAGCAGCCCTGTGACGGAGGAGGGCCGGGCTACCGTCTGTCTCATGGCAATTTGAGGCAGACAGAAACTGACTTTACGATCACAGTCATTTAGTGGACGAGAGACAGCATCCTCTGCAGCCAACTTCCACACGCGAGACACACACACAAACCCACAGTCACAGCTGTTTTCTGGAAACCTGAGTGTCACTGGTGAGCAGCCGAGCCACAGCAATGCGACATGGCACAGAGGGACAGACGGCTCGGGCTGTGGGTGAGAGTTCAGGTCTGCCAAGCAACGAACACTGAAGGCACACAACAAGTGCCGGACACCCAGCCCTTTCTTGTAAGGAAGGAATTAATTTAGGTCATTTTCAGTACATTCTTATTCACGCAATCCAATACGCAACAAGGGGCCCTGAAGTAGACCTCAACTAAGTAGTTTAGTTAAAATGGCAGTTTTCTTCCTTAACGATGTTAACGTGCTTGTGAATTAAAACACAGGACAGTAAGGTGAGGTGGGTCTGGACAGATAAGCTGAAACTGACCTTTCCAAATCTGAGGGATCACCTCCAGCCGGTTGGCCACATCTAATGCTTGGAGAAGGTCTATCAGTGTTTGGGAATGGGGAAAGAAGACCTGACCAAGAGAAACACGAGAACGTTTTTCAAGTGTTAATCGGCCACGACACCCACAAGCACGTCCACGATGATAAACGGGGAGTAACGAGTCATCTTACTGAAGGGATCAGGTCTTTATACCACTTCAAGGTGACATCAATTTGTTCCATTAGACAAAGCAAGTTAAAAAACTTGGAACTGCAATGGAGAAAAAGTACAGTCAGTCTAAAAGCCCTGCCTAACAACAGGGAAATAATTAAACTACAGCACAGGTATGATGCATGTTACACAGAATTTAACCACGATTTAAAAGCAACAATTTCACGTTGTGCGGGCCAGTGCTTGACCCAGGAGGCACTAACTGTGCTTTCTGGACTTCCCAGTTAATACCTTCTTATCGTCACTGGTCACTGATGCTGTCACCTCAATACACACTCAGCTTGTATTTTAGAGAGTGAAATGTCACATTCATTTTAAAAGCATTCCGTGGGGAAGGGTACAGCTCTGTGGTAGAGCGCATGCCTAGCGTGCGTGAGGTCCTGGGTTCAGCCCCCAGTACCTCCATTAAAAATTAAATAAACCCAATCAGCTCCTCCCACCCCCTCCACCAAAAGCATTCAATGTGAAGCAAGGATGTGGACACAAAGAAGAGAATGATCACACATCTATCAAAGGCTGCCTCCTCAAGTTCCTGTTTTTATCTGCCTAAAAGGAAACCCTTTTAAGGGGTCTCTTTGGGCTCTGGTATCTTGTCTTCAAAAGCAAAAGAGGCTGTGACGAAATCTTTAGGGACCCACCCTGTTAAGACTCAAAAAACGTAAAATAGGAAGGTGCACAGGGGAAAAATAAGCGAGTTTAAAGCATTACAAACGACAGACCCCAGACACCTCAGTCGGGAAAATCAGCGTTACCACTGCGTGAATCTCCAAGTGTTCAGTTAGCTTAAGTCACAGACACGCTGCCTAAAACCAGAGGCGAAACAGGAGGGCCACGAGCAGAGCTGACTCCTGGCTGCACACGGATGCTTCATTAATGTAAAAGAATACATTTCCAACACACTTACTAATAGAAGTTACGCCGATGATCGGATCCAATGAATTTCCGGTTGTCTCCGGTGTTTAAAAGGTCATGTACTTGGTAAGCAAGCTCCAGATCTCTGAGAGATGAGCACTGAAAATTTACAAACAGTAAAGAAGCACACTGTGCCATCCTCATCGGCCAAACAGTGGCTCATCACATTAAGAAAAAAGCAGTTACCTATGCAAATATATATGCTGATTCAACACACTGGTTGACAGCACATCAGTTACAATTGGGGGAAAAAAATCAAATCACTAATTTCTGTGAAATCCAAAACAAAATTACCTTGATCTAGTAGTTACACTCTGTATTTAGTAATTATATGAAAGCACATGGTCACATGCATGAGACAGACTGCTCATGCCAGCATCACTGTAGTGGCAAAACAAAAAAAACAAACAAAACCCAAACCCACGACGTCAGTCCAAAACTCATCCACGGGAGATTTAAGACCTAAGACTTCCCACCTATGAAATACTGCACTGCTGCCAACAAACCAAATACTACGGAACCGTGTCTGAATACCCAGAGAGAAAACCTGGAAGGACACAGGCCAAAGTGCAGAGCGATTATCCGCAAGGAAGAGGACATGCTAATTCATTCTGAAGCTGCTTGAAAACTTCTTCCACAACTAGCATGACAAAATGAAAAACCAAAAATAAAAACCACCATCTTCAATTTAAAAAGTTACCAATAGGCAAATATGAAATATTACGAAACCTTATCTGAAAGAAGGTATGAAGAAAGACCAGCTATACCATAAACACAGGGCAGAAATGTGACTCTGCAGGCATTTTAGAGGAATAACAAAATCAGCACTGAAGTCACAAACAGAAGAGCAAGGAAGCAGCAGAATCAGGAAGCCCCCCGCCCCCTGATGGATTTAGGAAATAGATAAAAGAGAAAAGGACAACTAAACAAGAAATTGTACTCACCACCCTCATGGCCGACTGAAAGAACATATCTGAAAGTCAGAGTTTACAAGGGCCTTGGTTACTATGGATAGAACACGTTTTCAAGTCAGTAACATTAAGAAAAATTCTGGCAACAAAACTGCCCACATGTAAAATAAACCTAAAGGAATAAAAACTCGAGGAGAAGCGGCATACAGCAGGCGCACAGACATTTCTGCTTTCTCAGAATAATCACCCACAAGACGACTAAGCTAAATGCAACCCTGTCCTCATCACAAGGCTCTCCCCAGCCCGGCAGACAGGAAACCGGGCGGTCCCACCCAAGCAGTTTCTGTACGCACCGTCATCCGGGTCCTCTGGAGAAAATCTCTTCCCTGCTAGCTGGTCCATGATGTCATAGATTATGAGGGACGATCCTCTTGCAGGGCTTTCTGCAGCACAAGAAGGCAACGGGGCTTTATCGTGAGGGCACTTCCTACACAACCACCAGGTGCACAGAACGAGTCCTGCGGCCACACTTCTCCTGGCCCTGCAGCCTGGGGCCCGGAGCTGGCTGGGCACATCCTTGCTAGAGGCACAAGTGCAACTCTCCCTAAGATCCGGGACAGCTGTGGGCCTCTGTGCGCTCCCGGCAGACTCTGCCTCTCCTTCTCAGGATCTCACAAGGCCGACTTTCACTGAAGCGCGAGGCAGACAGACACCCTCATTGAGCCTGCATACACGCTCAGAAAACAAACATGCTTTTGCTAAAAAACATTTGTGTTCCTTTTAAGTATAATCAGGATGAGAACCAAGAAAAACTGTAGAAGAAAAGCGGGCAGTCCTTAAAACCCACACAGACTGAGTACTGACAGGCCAGAAAACGCACCCACGACATTTCCAGTCAAACATTTCGCATTGTTTATCCACGTTCCCTCCCTCACCTGACGTGTGCAGGCGACAAGTACTTTAATGACAGCACAGAGGTACCTGTGAAGTTCCTCAAGCACATTTCCACTTGTCAGAACACCTAATTATTCTATTGGTTAATCTATTTTATGTGTCTTCTTTTTCATTATTTTAGCCTTCCCCCTTGGGGTAAACTCCTAGAAATGATTATTTCAGGCAGCCAATTTACGTGACTAAGACAAACCAACAGCCCTCCCTGCCGTGGTCGTGGCTGCCCCTGGGGACGCACAAGCACCACTGACTTGCCACCAAGGAACCAGACACCCGTGATGCTGCAAACAGATCAGGCTTTGGGCTCTGAAATACTAGTTTCAGCATGACACCAAGGTTGAAATTTTAGAAGATAAAATTACCATGGAAACTAGTTTACCTACTTCCAAGATAAAGTCAGTTGACTGCCCCTACCCCCACCCACAAAGATAAAAAAAACCTCCCTAGGGTGAGAGTATAGATTTTGTAAAACTAGCCCTCCAAAGTAGATGATGAAGGTTTTCTGTTATTTTCATATATAAAGCCTATCACAGGAGGACTAGAATTGTCATTTCTTAACCCAGGGGTCCTTTCTCGGTTTGGGGCAAATGGGTAAGAACCAATAGACTGGGAGCGGCACCTGTGCCTCCCCAGCTCAGGACAAGACACTGTGCCTAATCCATCTGCTCACTACCCCTGATGGCATTACTCAGGTAAGGCATCCAGTCCCTCTCAACATAGCTGACACTGTGCCTAATTCATTTGCTCACTAACCCTGATGGCATTACTCAAGTAAGGTATCCAGTCCCTTTCGACATAGCTGGTAAGTGGCAGAGGTGAAATTTCAACTCAGGTGTGCCTTGCTCCAAAGCCCATTCAACAGAGCACAGCTGACCTAAAACTAGGTGGTAAACGGAGCCTCAAAGTTCTCCCATGAGGCTTCAAAATAAGGTTAAGGTTACCGTGGAGCAGCACCATCCAACAGCTGCCTGCAAAGATGAAAATGTTCTGTATCTGCATCACGGAATACAGTAGCCAGCAGCCACAAGTGGCTACTGAGCACTGATGTGATGAATTTTAAATTTTATGTAATAGCCACGTGTGTCTAAGTGGCTACTGTACAGGGCAGCACAACTCTGGAGAGCAACAGAAGTCCAAACTCAAGTTCCTTCTGACCTCAACTGTCCACCATCACTGTTAGTACATTAATGACCTCCCTCCCCTCCAACTCAAGTTTTACATCACAAACAAGATTACTACCCTCCAGAAGAACTTTTTGCTCAGGTTTCAGACAATGTGATTTTTGTGAACCGTTTGGTCTTAATTCATATGCAGTGAGGTTAGTCTAATCTCTACATAAATGAATGTAACATAATGACGTACATACCATGTTGATAAAACAGCTGAATAATATAGTGATACGTGGCAAGCGAGGGCTCTTATATTACCAGGTAGATAAAAACAAAAAAAAAGACAAAGAAAAAAAAATTAAGTCAAACACAGCTATACAAAATACAGCTACTGAGGCACACTGAACCAAACACATGCTAATGCTGGTACTGAGGTCAAAGATGCACTTCTGCCCCTCTGAACACATTTTCCAGCTCCCATGATTAATGTAAAGGTAGAAAGGTGTCATATAGATTGAATTACTCTTACAAAGTCCAGACACCTATTATCAAAACATTGCAGCTACTGTACAGTACTATGATCCTTCACTTAATACTAAGGCACATGGAAGTGAACTGATGCCCAAAACCACCTTCAATAAGTTACTGAAAAACATACAACGCACTAGCACATAACTGGGTTCAAAACCAGAACTATGCTAAAAAATGTCACGAGATTTAAAACTAGCCAACTCTAGCGAATAACTCTCCTCAGAATCGAGAGAGGCATAAAACAAGTACCTAAAATACTAAAAGAATGTAACTTGTTGTACACAACACGAAAATAAAGGCGCTCCCCCCATAACGAATGCGTGCAATTAAAGTGTGCTGAATGGTGGAAAGGAAATTTCCAACTTGTTACGTAAACAGCACAAGAGTTTACAGCCCGTCTTTTTGCTTGTCTGGCCCTGAACCCGCTGGTCAGCGCTGCCTCAGTCTTCGGTGAGGGACACTAGGACACACCCCCACCTATTCCGATGGCGTTCATTTCCCGTAAGGTCTGTAAGGCTGGCACCTTCCCAAATGCATAAAACCTTCGGAGACACTTCAGAATAGTATTAAAAGTCTGTAGATTGGGTTTCACATTCTGTGCAGCCATTTGTTTCAGCAGGTCCTAGTTGAACCAAAAGCAGAAAGTATCTTTTATGCCCGGGTAGGTAATTTGCCCAATAAACTAATAAAACATACTAAAAAAGAATTTGGCTGTCCGCCTACGTCTAAAGCAGGTTAATAAATATATCCCCGATTTACAAGTTCTCTAGTAATAGCAGGACGGCAACTGCCCCTTAGTGACGCCCCCCATCAGTCAGCCCATGTGACCAAGGCGTCCGACTGTCTTCAGCTGCCTAGTGCGTCTGAGACAGAAGCAGAAGAACAGGTGAATGGGCTCTCTTCTTTTCCACACGAGCAGCGTGGTATAGTACGGCATAGTGTGGTCTCTATTCCTGTTATTTCAACCGGGTGATTTCAGTTTTTTAAATCTTACCTCATAAATTTTTTCAATATATCTTATTTTAATGAAAAAACACTTATGAGAAATAAGTGAATAAAGCGACTCGGGTCTTCCCAGATTCTAGCTGTACGACTAGGTGAGATGCAGCTACAGCTACTTAAACAGGGCAGCAGGAAGGGCATGGACAGGTACCGCCAGCTGAGTGCCCGGCATAGCAACTGCCAGGAAGATGCTCAGTGAATGCTGCCTCCATCCCATGTATTCCCAGCAAAGGATGCCTATCAGAGGACAGAATAATTAACTTGTAATATTCTAATATATTACTCCTTACTATTATTTACTGCTACTCCTTACCAATATATTATTCCATTTTTCTTCAAACTTCTCATTCGCCACCAATGCTGTTGCTTCAATCAATGAATTGAAGGTGTGTACATCAGCTACAAAAGAGAACTACTTTAACAAAATTTGGGTTGAAGATTAAAGGCAAAGTGGTCGAGCACACATGTCCACAAAACTAGAAAACTACTACTTTCTCTGACTCTCTGCTCCTGCTTCAATCACCAATACCACAGGAAAAAATTAAGAATGAGCCAATGACTGAGGCAAGATCCTGAGATTTCAGATGCTGGAGAGAAGAAAAGAAAAGAAAAGGGATGACAGGGGAATTCTCTAAACACACTTACCACGCAGTCTGTTGTTCAATAACTCAGTGTACAAGTTCAATGCCTGTGTAGGAGGAGCTCGGTGCTGGAAGAGGGAAAGGATGAAAATTAAGCACCATCAAATCTGTTCGTTTAAGAAATATTTACATATCTACCGTTCTCAGCTTTGAGAACACAGCAGCAAACAGACACGGTCCTGGTTCTCAAGTGCATCCTCTGTGTGGTGGTTCTCTAGCAGGGGCAGTTTTGCTTCCCAGGTGACATTCGATAATGCCGGAAGACATCTGTTAGTTGTCACAGCTAGGGGGTGGGAAGGATGACCCCTGGCATGCAGTGGCACAGGCCAGGGAGCTCCTAAACACCCTCCAAGGCCCTGGAGGGCCCCACGACAGCAAGTCACCTGGCCTCACTGCAGACTGCTCTGAGGCTGAGAAGCCCTGATTTAGGGGAAATTAAAAATAGAAATATAAAAATAAACGTTACCTTCACCATTCCTCGGATCACTGTGCAGTAGGAGTGTGCGTTTTTCTCTGGCATTAGAGCAAAGATTCTCTCAGCATTGTTGTTTGCTCTAGACACAAGAGAGCAAATGTGAACCAACGGAGA